AAGAAGGGTCCAGACCCGAAACATCAGCTTTCCTGTTCCTCTGATGCTGCTTGGACTGCTGTGTTCATCTAGCTCTACACCTTGTTATCTCTATACTACACTCACTTCTTTTTTTCCCCCCTTTATCTGCCCTACTATAAAAAATCTCAAATATGCCAAACAGAATTCTGTTTTGTAAAAACATGTTGATTTAGAAAATCAGAAGGCTTCCTGATTAAGAGATCCTAGAAATTTGATGCTAACTGACATCACATCAATTGGCTTGCAGCTGTTTTCTGACTTCCTCCTTTTTTGAATAGCACAGTCACATTTACTAAGTTTCAACCTGTTGGAATGTTGGTAAGTTACAACTAGTGCATCTACTATCTCTGCAGCTACGTTTTTAGAACCTTTGAATATAAGCCATTCAGATCCTGGGGATTCATTGGATTTTCATCCTAAAAGTTCTTCCCAAAGATTTTTCCTTTTGACGATATTAATTACCAAAATTCTTCACTTTTTTAGTCCCTTGGTTTTTGTTACCTTCTATTTTTGGTAATGTAACATGCCTTCTACCATTAAGGCAAAAACTATTATTTCAATATTTTATTCAGAGGTCCAACATGGATAGGGAATGCTAGCACTAAAGGATAGAAGACATGGTTTATAACTTTGTGTCCTTTGGACATAAAAATACAACAGGAAAAGTGATCCAAACGTGGCTAACAGGACAGGTTAAAAATTGCATTAGATGCAAGAAAGAGGCCTATAAATTTGCCAAAGAGTAGTACATTTGAGGATTGGGAGCATTTCAGAATTCAGTAAAGGAGGATCAAGGAACTAAAGAAGAAATGGAAAACACAATATGAAAGGAAACATAGCAAGAAACAAACATAAAAACACGCTATAAAAGTTTATGTAAATACATAAAAAGGAAGGAGGGTTTAGAGGATTCTTGTGGTGCAGTGGTAATGCCCCCATCTCTGGACCAGGAGGTCCAGGTTCAAGTCCTATCTTCTCCAGAGGTGTGTAATAATATCTTTGAACAGGCTGATTAGACAATATCTACAAAAAAGTAAGTAGCAAAGACAAATATGGGCAAATCATATGCAGAGACAGGGTAATTTATAAATATGAAATATAGAAACAGCAGGGAAGCTAAAATACATTGTGTCTGTCTTTACTGTGGAAAATAAATAACAAAAACTTCAGAAGTACTACAGAAGCAAGGGATTAACAAAAATTAGGAACTGAAATGGATTAGTATTAAATATTCTGGAACAAATGTTCTCCTTTTGTGCCGTAAACATCTTTGAATCTGTGGGTAGTACTAGGAAAGTTAATGGGACTGCAAGTTAGTAAATCATCTGCATCTAATGGCCTTCATCTCAGAGTGTTGAAAGAGGTGTCTGTGGGCATAATGGATGCATTGGTAAGTCTACAGATCCTGGAATGTTTCTGCAGATTAGAAAGTTGCAAATGTAATACCACTTTTCAAGAAAGGAGGGAGGAAGCAAACTAGGAACTACAGACATGTTAGCTCGATATTAATTGTAAAGAAAATGCAAGAATCTATTACAAAGGATGTGACAACTGGACAGTCAGAAAATAGAACAGACAGAATCAACGTGTTTTTGATTGAAAGGGAAATTATGTTTGACAAATCTATTGGACTTTTCTGACAATGCAATGAATAGAATAGATGAGTGGGTGGCCTATTTAGATTTTCAGAACTCTTTTGATAAGATCTCACACAGCTTAGTAAAATAATTAAAATACATGGGTTACAGGATTTTATGCTAGTTTGGGTTGAGAATTGGCTAATGGACAGAAAACAGAGTAGAAATAAATGCTCTTTTCTCAGGTTGGCTGGCTGTCCCCCAGTGGGGTGCCACAAGAATCACTGCTTGGACCCAGCAATTCACAACCTACAGCAATGATTTGGATATGGAGATCTAATGTAATATCATCATGGTAGCCAATGACAAAATTAGTTGGTAATGTTTTTTTAGACAGACTACTTGAGTGGGCAAAGACACGGCGAATGGAACATAATGTGGAAAGATGTGATGTTATACACTTTGATAGGAAAACAGAAATGCAGAGTGTTTCTAAAATGGTGAGAGATTAGAAATTGTTGAGTGTCCAAAGGGACCTGGATAGCCTTTGTTCATGAATCACTGAAAACTAACATGCTGATGCAGGAAGCAATTAGGAAGGCAAATGTTATGCTGGTTGTTACTGCAAGAGGATTTGCATACAGAGTAAAGATGTTTTACTACAATTATATAGAACCTTGGTGAGACTGCACCTGGAGTAACATGTACAGTTTTGATGTCCTACCCAAGGAAGGATATATGTGGGATTGCAGGGATACAAGGACTGCAATGGTATTTAACCACATTGGTTTTCAGAATGGCAGAACTGTCCGACAAAGACATCAAGGAGATTGAGCCTGTACTCTAAAATTTCAGAAGCATGAAAAGTGATCTCATTGCAATATACCAAGTTTTCATAAGGTTAGTCAGCGTAGAGATGCAAGAGGATGAGGGATGGTCTAGAATCAGAATAAAAGGTAGGCCATTGAGGATCAAAATGAGGAGAAATTTCTTTTACTCATAGGATGGTACGTTTTGGAATTCTTTACCCCATGGGCTAACAAAGATTCAGTTGTTGAATCATCAAGACAGAGATTGATAGTTTCCAGATATCACAGACATCAAGGGATATGGAAACAGTGGAGAAAATGGATTTGAGATGGATCAGCAAGACTTTTTTGAATGGCAAAGCAGGTGTTGAAATGGTCTATTCTTGCTCTTACTTCATGAGAGGTATTGATAAGGTGAATAGCAAAGGTCTTTTCCCTAGGATAGGGGAGTTCAGAACTAGAGGGCTTATTTTCAAGGTGACAGGAGAAAGATTTAAAAGAGACCTGAGGGGCAATTTTTTTCACACAGCAGGTGGTTCATTATGTGGAATGAACTTACTGAGGAAATGGTAGATGCAGGTACAGTTATAACATTTAAAAGACATTTGAATAGGTTCATGAATAGGAAAGGTTTAGAGGGCGATGGGCCAAATGCAGGTAAACGGAATTAGTTTTGTTTGAGAAGCTTGGACAGCATGGATGAATTGGATCAAAGGGCTGTTTCCATGTTGCTTGACTGTACGACTCTATAATACTTAAGAAACTTGACATCATCCAGGACAAAGAAACCTGTTTGATTGGTACCACATCCACAAGCATCCACTCCCTCCACCACTGATGTTCAGAAGCAGTAGTGTACAATATCTACGCGATGCACTGCAGAAATTCAAATATCCTTACATAGTACCTTCCAAACCCATGACCACTACTATCTAGAAGGACAAGGGCAGCAGATACATGGGAGCACCATGACCTGCAAGTTCCCACTCACCATCCTGACTTGGAAACATATCACTCTTCTTTCATTGTCGTGGGGTCAAAATCCTGGAACTCCCTCCCTAAGGGCATTGTGAGTCTATCTACAGCACATGGACTTAAAAACCATCATTTTTCAGAAAAACTTTAGTTCTGGAATTAGTCCAGTAACATTATCACTACTGTGTCAGATACATTGATTTTGGAGCACAGTCAGTATAACATTACTGTTCAAGAAAGGATCATAGGATCATATGAACAACTACATGGCAGCTGATTTAAATGGAACACTTGGATAATTAAGATCAGCATGTATTTATTGAAGGAGTTATGTCTAACAAATCTAATGGAAATTTTTGAAGAAATAATTGAATTGATCAATAAAACGCATCAGATAATTTGTATATGGCATATAATAAGGTGATTTACAAGAGTCTATTACTAAACACCAGGGTCAATTCAGATATGAGACACAATTAATGTCTGTTGCTTGGACTGCCAAAGGGCTAGAAATGGTTCACTCCATGCATCAATGCTGGGTACCCAATCTACTGAGATGATTTGGACAAGGGAATTAGGAGTATATCAAGATCTGCCAGCATCATGAAAATAGAAAAAGGTTAAATTTGTCCAAAGGGCTGCCCTTCACATGTGAGCCCAAGGCGTAATTAGACTATGTAATGATTAAACACCGCACCTAAATCAGCTCATTTATTTAAATCCTAGTCTTGTATTTACCTCTTCCCTGAAAAGAAGTGCCAAGGTTACTCTGTATAAGATCGTCTAATTTAGTACAGATCAAGGATCAAACCTACAGCCTATATATTGACTACCACATAATTTAGTCCGTGAAACAATAAAAGCTAAATGAACTATGATGAACTTGAATGTCAATGTAATTTTAAACAAACAAATGGAGGCGCACAGCGTAGTTTGTACCTTTGCGTCCAGCCCAAGTCCTGCTCGGGTCAGAATAATTGCAAGTGCTATACTTCTCAAGGATGAGGACCACTTGTAGTCAATGTAAATAGCATCACTGACAACAGGAATATTTCGGAGAATGAAACCAGCAAGAAGCATTCCTAATACGCAAATACAAAGAAAATATATTACAGATTAAACTGCTACTGAATAAATTAAGTACAAATGCACCATTAAAGGATAAACATTTCACTCTAGTTCAATGTTTAGAAAAAAAAGGCCATCAAAAGTGTGTATAAATTGACCAGCTAAATGAAATATAAAACTGAAACCCCTTAGTTTCAAATAAGTACTTTTTCCCAATGTTCTAAGCACCACCACGACTCAGACGAATGCTTTGAAACTACATAAAAGAATTGAAATTATGTAATAATAATAACACATTAAATATTTTAACAATTTTATGATAATATTTCCATCAATAGCTGGACAGCATTTTTTTTGTTCTGATTAAAGATGGAGAAAAATATTCCAATATGGATTAAATAAACACAAACAAAAGTACATATACAAAAAGTACACAACAAAAGTTAATATAGAGTCAACTTGTACAAGTTAGTGTCATGGAAATTGCTCTGCAATGTCAAGATAAAATGTCTTGAATTTATAGAGCACATTTAGCTATTTTAAGACATCCTAAAGCACTTTACAGTTAATTATTACTGCTGTAACATAGAAAGTGGAGCAGTCAAGAATACTGAAGAGAATGCCCCACTCTTCTTTGAAACAGTTAAATGAAATCTTTTATATTCACCTTAATTAAAAAGTAGTTTAATATTACATTTGAAAGATGGCACTTTAACGTTACAACAGTCCCTCAAGTAAGGACTTACTTATCTGCTTGACGGATGTCAAAAATTTTTATCAATATTTGAATGACAGCTGGAAGTTCCTTGTGTGGGCCAACATTTCTTCCCCATACAATACCTTTTAATTTATTCATTTCCTGTTAATGGGTCAACACTGAAAATTAGCTGTGGGGCTGGAGGAACACAGCAGGTCAGGCAGCATGAGAGGAGCAGGAAAGTTGACGTTTCGGTTTGGAACCCATTTCTGAAGGAGTGTCCTGACCCAAAACGTCAATTTCCCTGGTCCTCTGATGCTGCCTGACCTGCTGTGTTCCTCCAGCCCACACTGTATTGTCTCTGACTCCAGCATCTGCAGTTCTTGCTATCTCCGATTAAAAATTAGCTTCTGTTTTTGCCAACTATGAAGTTATTACACTTTCAATTTGATCCATTGGTTTAAATCACTTCAGAAAATGATAAACACTAGTTAAAAACAAATCTTTTACTTACTATACTTCAATATAGTCACACAACATTAATATTTTCATCATTATGTCTTCCATTTTCTTACCTAGAAGACCAGGTAATGGAGGTAAATTAGGAAATTTGATCATTCCAACAATCTTCCCTCCCAGAACTGCACACACAAACAGAATCAGATTTCCAAACAAATTACCACCGGGAAGGCACTCTGGACCTGTAATTGACCAGACGACTGCCCACAGAAGGATCACCATGATTACTGGAAAACAAGGTGAAAACTGATTAATACAAGGATCTGAAGTTAGTCTTTGCATCCATCAAGAAACACTAAACAGGAGGTTTTTTTTTCCTTTTATCCAATTCCTAGACCAGTTAGCTTAACATCTGTCATTGAGAAAATGTTAGAATCTATTATAAAGGCTGTAAATAGCAAAGCATTCAGAAATACATGTGATCAAGCAGTGTCAGCATGGCTTCATGAAGGGGAAATCATGCCTGATAAATTTCTTAGAATCCTTTGAGGAGATAACAAGCAGGATAGATAAAGAGGAAGCAGTGGATGTAATATATTTGGATTTTTAGAAGATGTTTGATAAGGTACCACATGTTAGAAACACGGAAAATAGGAACAGAAGTAGCCAGGTCATTCAGTCTTTTGAGCCTGCTCCACCATTCAATATGATCATGGTTGATCATCCAAATCAGTACCCTGTTCCAGCTTTTACCCATACCGTTTTATTCCTTTAGCCCTAATAACTATATCTAATCCTTCTTGAAAGCATTTACAGAAAGCTTTCTGTAGCTGATAATTCTACACTCACCACTCTGAGTGAAAACATTTCTTCTCATCATAGTCCTAAACGGCCTACCCTAAATCCTTAGAGTGTGATGCCTAGTTCTGCACTCCCTGGTAATTGGGAACATCCTTCCTGTGTTTACCTTGTCCAGTCCTGCTCGAATTTTAAGTTTCTATGAGATTCACCATGCCTCCCAACCCCGTTTCTTCTAAACTCCAACGAATATACTCCGAACTGATCCACTCTCTCTTCTCACATCAGTCCTGCCATTCCAGGAATCAGCCTGGTTCTTAAGACTTAATAAGACAACAGCCCATTGTGTTGAAGGTAGTATGTTAGCATGGGTGGAGGATCGGCTAGATAAAAAGTTGGAATAAGGGGGAAATTTTCCAAATGGCAATCTGTAACAAGTGGAGTACTTTAGGGATCAGTGCTGGAACCACAATAATTTGCAATATATATTAGTAACCTGGATGAGGAAAATGAATGTACTGTTTACGGATGATACAAACCAGTTGGGAAGGCAAGTGATGAGGATGACACAGAGTCTGCAGGGGGATATAGACAGATTAAGTGAGTAGACAAAAATTGTGGTAGATTAAATATAATGTGGGAAAATGTGAGGTTATGCACTTTGGCAGGAAGAATAAAAGAGAGGAATATTATATGCCATAATAATATGAAGAGACAAATCTTAAAAACAATCTCAGCCAGTGTGGGGTGCAAACCTGCGCCGTTAACATTAACCTGCTAATATGCTGTCACCAACTGAGCCATCTGGAAATTGTACATTGTCCCTAGAACAGTTTTGGTCCCCTTATTTAAGGAAAGATATACTGGCATTTGAGGTGGCCAGAAAAGATTCACTAGATTGGCTCCAGGTATGGAGAGATTTTCTTATGAGGAGAAGTTGAGTAGATTGGGCCTCACTTAAGTTTAGAAGAATGCGAAGAGGCCTTGTTGAAAACTAAGATTTTAAGGGGGCTTGACGGGATAACTGTGAGAGAATGCTTCCACATTTTTAAGTCTAGAACCATTGGGCAAAATCTGAGAAAGTGGTTACTGATTTAAGAGAAGAGATGAAGTGGAATTTCTTCTCTTAGAGGGTAGTAAATCTGTGGAATTCTTTACTATAATGAACTATCAAAGGTGGGCCATTAGGTATATTCAAGGCTGAGACAGATATTTAATCAGTAAGGAAATCAAGGGTTATGGGGAAAAAACAGGAAAATCGACTGAGGATGACCATGATCTCATTGAATGGCACTACTGACTCTACGGGCTGAAAGGCCTACTTCTGCTGATAAGTTTTTGGGTATGCTTCTAGGAGAGCTCTTGGATGGGTCTACCCTGCAAATTCACTCAGTACACTCTCAGAAGGCTTTAGTGGGGCTGTTGGCAGCTCATGAATCCTTTGAGAACTTGCTAAATGCTCTTATCCTTAGAGATTGATTAATTTTGCTTCTTCAAGAAATCAAACAAGCTCATACATGGGAATTGTGTTAGACTCTGTCTAGATTTTCTACCCTGCTGAGCTTCTAGCACACAATTCTAAGTGTAATTTGGTCAGCACTAAACAACTTACGGTTTGCTGATCTAAAAAGCAATGAAAAATGTTGAAGAAAAGTGTAGTGGCTATACCAGAATGAGAACAAGATCAAAAGAATTATGTAGCATAGCAAAGGTCGTGAGGCCTTTCGTTGGCATATAAATATGTAATCTCACAGATTAATATGAACCTGCTTCTATTATTAAGATAATTCATTTTCAAATACATGCTGTGATCTAACCCTTTGTTAGGACACTAGCAATGATTCCCTGAGGTGGGCATGCAAAAATTCGCCACAGTTTGCCATGATGCTGAGATTTAGGCTCCTCGCTTTGGCTGCTTTTATTCAAAAGGGTCGTTTCATCTACTTCCATTGGTGCATCTGAATGGTCTGTAGAACTCATTTTCTCAATAACATCCTGGAACAGGAAAACAAAATACAACATATTTATTAGACATTTCTTTTGGTAAGGAAAACCTTGAGAGATTATTTATTATAATTACTGGGATTGCAGTTTCCATATTCCAAATAACATAATCAAAAATTAGAGACATTATAACACTTTTCCCTTTCTCCACCATTAAGAACCCCTTTGTCTTTTGCATTGGGCCTCTGCCTCTATCAAAGGCATATATTAAAAAATTTCCAACGTCTTTTAGTTCAGAAGAAGAGTCCATCAAATTTGAAAGATTAACTCTGTTTCTCTCCCCACAGATGCTGTTGGACCTGCTGATTTCGCAGCCTTGTTTGTGTTTGTTTCAGTGTTGCAGTATCTGCAGTATTTTGCTTTCACACAAGTATAAAATTGCCATGAAACATGTTTTTATTCATGCAAAAACTGATTAATGTGCAGAAATTACTTTCTTCAGGATTAGTTCTAAATCAATGAACACTTAACATGGAGTAAGGTGGTTACCTGGCTTGAAGTAGGATTGAAGGTCAGAGATAAAATTCAGGTATTGACAATTGATTTATGGACTGCTAAGAACCATGGAACATAGCTGTTTACCTGGATGGAGCTCAGAATTTTATTTTCTTGGAATTTTACCTTATTTCATTACCATCCAATGGAAGTTAAAAGAAACTGCAATGCAATTCAAATGACAAAAGCATTGTGGTCCTGTAGAGGGCTGGGAGCACCAAATGGCCTTTTCCCATTGTAAGAATTATGTTAAAAACCGAAAGAACTGTGGATACTGTAAATCAGGAACAAGGTTCTGATAAAGGGTTACTGGACCCGAAACGTTAACTCTGATTTTTTTTTCTTAGATGCTGCCAGACCTGCTGAGCTTTTCCAGCAACTTCTGTTTTTGTGCAAGAATTATGTTGTCCATCATTCCATAAGCTGTTCCCTCAGATCCCCCTTCAGTTTATACATTTTACATTTAACAGCATGTACTTAACAATATTTCTGTAAATATAAACTACTTAAAAGTGGATTTGTTGATCCCAACGCAATCAGACATACTATGAAGATTTGATCTTATATATGTACAATGGCCAGTCCAATCAGCAAATCAAATCTGAAAAGGTTCTAGACATAAAGCTTCAGCCCTCACATTGAATTTAATGTAAGAAAGCTGTACATGTAGGCCAGGCTGGGTTGCAAGACAGCATTAGCACATGAAAAGCTGGTCTGCATAAAACAATAAATCATGCACATTTGTTAGTGTATTTGAAATTGGCAGGTATGTTTATGCAGAAAAATCAGATGTGATTGAAGTTCATCATATTCAATTTTGAATTGGTCACATCTTGCGGGTCAAATAGAATGACATTAGATATGTTGAGCTAATCAAATCTGCAGAAATAAGCAACCTATAAACAGCTTATCTTTAGCACTCAGTTCATGTATACAAGGAAACGTGTCGGTGGTTTAATTTTTTTGTGTCTTTTAAAAATGATCTACAACTAAAAAGGATGAAAAAGTAATAAGAAGGAACAGCGATCTTGTACTTAGAAAGGTGCCCTGGAGATCACTCAAAATATACACAAATACTGACCTCTGACAGTGGTGGACTAGGGACAACAATAAATTATATTCTGATAATTGTGAACAGTGTATACTGGTAATAATATTAACGTACTTAGCAAAATCAGGTTTCTAGTACAAATAGGGATTTTTTTTTGACACAAGCAGGTTCCTGTATTTTGTGGTAAAATAACTAAGAATGCACAGCACTACAACATTCAATTGCCTTAAATGCATTACGAGGAATAATACATTTTCAGGGTCTATCCCTTATGTGTTGATGCTATGCAGATATAAAATTCTTTAGAATATTATATTGTTTCTGTCAGGAACAGAACTAATCACCTTTTCTGAAAAATAAATTGCAGTTTTAGATGCCTTTGTGAAGTTAATTTAGTACTGTGAAGCTTATTGAATCAGTAGCTGAAAAGTTTCATATACAGTTGTACAGAAACTGCACTTAATGTGGTTATTGACAACTGTTTCATTCATAAATCCAATAATCATCAGCATAAGAGAAAGCCTGCTTTGCTATGCTGCAAAAAGCGACCCTTCATATTGTATGAGAGCAAAGTGTTGATTGGTTGGCAAGTGGGCTCTGATTATTAAAGGTATTGTCATGGAGAACACAGTTGATGATGATTGATAGTTAACTGTCAGGCTTTGTTCAGATTTCAAACCAGGTGAGTTGACTGATATTTCTCAGGACAGCGTCCAACATTATGTATGATTCTGCAATTGGACATCATTTGCTGGACAGTGAGCAGAAAATTACGTTGACAATCAATTTAAGGTATCAGTTGGACTCACTATGTGGCACACTTGCATGTACTGCAAGCTACATATATTAATACATAGGACCCTGTTCTTTGCAAACAGAAAGAATGTGCACACGCACTGTGCTCATTCTAACTCAACAAATTAGGTGACAGCCATTTACTGGTTCATTTCTCAGGGCAATTCCCCAAACAGAGTCAACATCTGCTTTTAAAATTTAAACATGCAATCAAACAAGGAGCAGGAGGCCACTTGGCGCTTCAAGTCTGCCCCATTATTCGACAAGTTCATGTTTGATCAGAGACTAACCTTGACTCCAATTCGTATCTACCTCAGATAATTTTTCATCTCTGTTTATCAAAAATCTAACTACTCTGCCTTAAATAAACTGTTCCTTCCAAATCAACTATTGCACCTTAGGATCACTATTTTTAGAGGCAGAACTAAGTTAATTGCTGGTCACCAAGCATATTTCTAAAAGAATTTTAAGACAATTAAAATTATATGAAATATATCCAATAACATAAAAGGACATGAACAGACTTCAAAATTACTGAACAATTTTTCCCTCCAGCCAAATATTTTTACATATACACAGCCGCTTGAACATACCCGAGATTCTGGCATTATTTTCAGAGTTGCCGGATTTCTCTCTTCATTTGTAGCATTATTTAGGTGTTCAATATTTTTGTTTGCCATGTTGAATAAACTGGAAGAGAAAGAAAAGGATGTAAAACAGGTACCAAATTACCACAGCAGCAGCATTCCAGGACTACTATCAGAAGTCAGTCCGAATAGAAATTTCTGCCATTGACTTGAGAGCTATCCTCTATTTGTGGACGTGTACATATATCCTGAATTTACATAGGCTCTTCTTAAGCCTTAAGCCAACACCTTTCATTTTTGTTATGGGGGGAAAAAACATGGAAAAGTGCAATTTTTGCAGTGATGAATTTAGAGCTGTTTGAAGGGATATGAGAGTCCTGATAGGGATAGTCAGTAAGCATGTCCATCCCAAGCAATTGTGATTTATTTGACATTATGTAGAAGATTTTCTCACTTCTGTAAGTATGCTATGCAGTTACAAGTCACAATTAAGCCATGCTTTTAGAGTATATTACAACATCCAAGCAGATGAGCAGGCATACTAGCTGTAAGGGGTAAAACGAGAACACAAGTCGTAGGAGCAAGAGTATATCATATAGCCTGTTGAACCAGCTGTCATTCAATTCGATCACAGCACTTTTCTTCCTACTCTCCATATACCTTGCTTCTCCAAGACTAAAAATATGCTAATCCTACCCAATAGTGGAGCATTCACAACCTTCTGAGATAGAAAATTTCTAACATTTGCAACCCTTTAAGTGAAGAAATAGACTGCATGCCAGTCCTAAAGAATTCATCCTTTACACTGAGACCTGGCCCTGGTGTTTTTGACTCCCAAGTCGGCATATAAAGTCTCCGTATCTACCCAGTCAAGCCCCTTCAGAATCTTGTATGTTACAATGAGATCACCTCTCACTTTTCTAAACTCCAGACAGTATAGGCTCAAATGACTCAGTTCCTCATCCATTTGGCCAATTTACTGATCTTTTGATGTAACATGGAAACCAAAATTGCACACAGCATTTCAGGTTTGGCTAATAATAGTCAGCAGGCTTACTTACAAAATAATATTAAAATAGATAAGCACAACAGATTTTTTTTAAAAAGAACATAATAATATCGTGTACATTTGTTGTCCTTTAAATGCAAGGCTTTGTACTACACTTCAGATTAAGAAATAGTTGATTCCTATGGCAAAGGACATTAAATAAACTTTTAAATGTTTTCAAATTATCGATTGCCATATCCCATGCACGTTCCACATAACCTAATCACGATCTGATTCACAGACACCTGTACCCCATCCAACTGCCCACAACTTCTCTCACACACACACACACACACACACACACACACACACACACATACACACTGAACCCCACAACTCTCTACCCATTCATATACACTCAACGCCAGACTCCCTTTGCTCACATGCAAAACAGAAGGGTCTAGGCCTGAAACGTCCCTTCCTGCTCCTACGATGCTGCTTGGCCTGCTGTGTTCATCCAGCTCTACACCTTGTTATCTATCCAATTCTCCACTTCATACATCGTGTTCCACTCAACTGCACACCCTTTCACATTAACACTGTATCCCATCATCACCCTACCCTTCTAGAGAAACCTTTTCTGACCTCATAGCTCACACTGGCAACTATTTTACCTTGGCAACCCTACTCAGCAATTGCTCTCAATTAATCTTGACCTTGTCAGCGCACCACTCCCAGTTACTCTTCTTCCTTCCGGACTGTTCTGAGGGAGGGTCACCGGACCCGAAACATTAACTCTGTTTCCTCCTTCACAGATGCTGCCAGACCTGCTCAGCTTTTCCAGCAACTTCGTTTTTGTTCTTGACTCTTCTTCCCTTTTCTTTATTACTTCCACTTTTCATTATCCTGACCCTGATTACTATTGACTTTTCTCTTTTTTTGTCCATCCATTTTCCTCTATGCCATTCACTCTCAATCTCCTCAGGTTTACCTCCACAGAAATGCCTGTCTGTTCCCTAACTAATGAACTACCTATAACTATCGCTCCTCCTTCCTCCCTTCTGAACTTCCGAGTGACTTGTAGAGCCATAAACATGGCTCTGACTGCACTCTCTGCAGGAACCTTTGCTCTCATCAGTTTCCAAAATGGAAAACTGATTTGTGAGTTGAACATCAGGAGACTCGCGCACTACTTGCCTGTTGCTCTTGGACTGCCCAGCAGTCACCCATTGCTTTCGTTCCCTTCAGACTGTGAAGCTACTTGGGCATTCAACCTCTCATAGAAATTAACAAAAAAAAATTGTGATATTTAAAAGTATTGTAAAGCATTGCTTTTTAATTCATGAAAATATCCACAATTCTGTTATTTAAGGTCTCTTTGGACACTTCATCTTAAGAACACATTGGTATTGCAATCTGAGTTTTACTAACTCTACCAGGCTTTTCACAAATCACAAATACAATATCTCGGCAATGCTGCATTTGTGCAGGATAACATGTAATGTAAACACTTCAGGATTGCTGCAAAATGCAAATAACTTGCAAAACTACTGGAAAATAGTGAAGTGTTTCAGGTGGGCAGTTAATAAACCAAAGCCTCCTCAGGTAAACTCAGACATAAGGGCGTATACAAATGAAACAGACCTCACCAGCCTGTGGAAACTGTGTTTAGGGTGAAAGGATATATTGAGGCCCAGGATCGGGGACCAGCACTTTAGCTTCAATACAGCAGCAAGAGAGAAAACAGCAAGAGGACATGTTAAGGCCCAGGATCAGAAGCCCAACAGGAAAAAAGTCATGGTGATTGATTGATTCCTGATTCATAAAATGAGGCTTTGAAAGAAGGAATTAACTGAGAAACAATAGGAATAAATTAAAATCAGGGTCAATGTGAAAAATAACATAAGTAAGCAAAATAGGATAAGGGAAGTACAGTAAAGTTAGAGTAAGGGAAGTAAGTTTAAGACTAAGCAAAACAAAACTAAGTAAGTTTAAGAGATGGCAGCACAGGTCAAGTGAAACGTGTGGCCTGTGATAAGTGGGAAATCTGTGATCCTACTGGGGTGCCAGATGACCAAAGATGCAGGAAGTGTTTATACTGGAGAAACCTGAGCACTGAATTTCAGAGTTTGAACAATAACTGGATGCACTGTGTTGTATCTGCAAGGATGGGAGTTACATGGAGACCATGTTTAAAGAGGTAGTCACACCAAAGCTTTCCAGTCCTGAGGGAAGGAAAGAAATGGGTGACTGCTGGGCAGTCCAAGAGCAACAGGCAAGTAGTGCACAAGTCTCCTGATGTTCAATTCACAATTCAGTTTTCCATTTTGGAAACTGATGAGAGCAAAGGTTCCTGAAGAGGGTGCAATCAGAGCCATGTTTGCGGCTCTACAAGTCACTCGGCTGTTCATTTCTTTCCTTCCCTCAGGACTGGAAAGCTTTGGTGTGACTACCTCTTTAAACATGGTCTCCATGTAACCCTCATCCTTGCAGATACAACACAGTGCATCCAGTTATTGTTCAAACTCTGAAATTCAGTGCTCAGGAACGAGGAAGGAGGAGCGATAGTTATAGGTGATTCATTAGTTAGGGAACAGATAGGCATTTCTCCGGCCATCAATACAACTCCAGGATGGTAAAATGTCTCTTTGGTGCCCAGGTTCGGGGGATGGGGGTGAACAGCCAGAGGTCAGTACCAATGACCTATGTAGAAAGGGTATATGGTCCCGCAATCAGGATATAGCAAGCTACATAGAAAGTCAGCAAACAGGGCCTCAAATGTACTAATCTCGAGATTATTCCCAGTGCGACATGCAAGTGAGTACAGAAATAGTAGGATAAGGCAAATGAAATCAAGACTGGTACAGAAAGATAGTGCAGGCAGGAGATTCCTGGGACACCAGAACTGGCTCTAAGGACTTTGGCACCTGTACATGCCAGATTGGTTGCACCTGAACAGAGTTGGGACTGAGTTCCTTGCAGGATGTTTTGCTACTGCTATTGGAAAGGCTTTAAAGTAACTTGATAGGGGTATCAGAACTAAGACAGAATAGTAGAGAAAGCGACCAGGGTTCACATAGTAGTTGGGAATTGTAACTGCCACTAGCATAGACAATATCAAGTCAGTAGATGACGTCGAGTAAGGAAGAAAAGAAATGAACTCTAAATTAGGGTTACTGTGCATTTATGTGAATACAGATTGCCACGTGCAGTTTTGACGTTGTGACAATAACAGAGACCTAGTTCAAGGAAAAGCAAGACTGGGTCTTAAATATTCCTAGGTACAATGTATTCAGAAAAGATTAAAAAGGAAGGAAAGGAAGAGTAGCAGAATTGGTTAAGGAGTCAATTGCAGTGCTAGAGAAAGAGGATGTCTCAGACGGTCCAAGCACAGAATCAATTTGGATAGAACTAAGGAACAAAAGGGTATATTTATACTGCTAGGTGTAGTCTATAGACCATCAACGAGTGGAAAGGATGTAGAAGAACAATTTAGCAGGGAGATTACAGAGAAATGCCAATATTACAGAGCAGATAAAATGGGAGACTTCAATTATCCAAAAATAGACTAGGGTACTTGTAGTGTACAGAGCAGTGAGGGACAGATGTTCCTGGACTGCATGCCGGACAGATTCCACATGTTTCCAGTCCAATAAGAAAACATTCACTTGTGGACTTCATTCTTGGAAATGAACCAAATAAGTGGACATAGGTTTAAGGTAAAAGGGGGTAAGCTTAAAGGAGATGCGAGAGGCAAGATTTTTTTTTTACATAGAGGCTAATAAGTACCTATAAAGCACTGCCAGAGGTGGTGGTGGCGGCAGATACAATAGCAACGTTTAAGAGGCATTTTGACAGATATAAGAATGGGAAGGGAATAGCAGGATACGAACAACACAGAGGCAAAAGGTTGTTAATTTGGAAAGGCATCATGTAGTTGAGCTGAAGGGCCTGTTCCTGTGCTGCACTGTTCTTTGATTTGATACAGATCAAGTATCAGTTGGGGAACATTTAGCAGACAGTGACCATTGTATTGTAAAGCTCAGGATGATGATGGAGAATTAAATCTTGAGAGAGAAATATCAATGAACACCCTTCAACAGGGCAAGAACACA